CGAGCTATTTTCTCTTGCTCGGGATTCGTGACAACTTTTTCTTGCCCAACCGAGAAGTCATATTATGGAGGTTAAGTAAATGAGTATGGGGTCACATATGTTATTTCTGGTTGAAACTGTAGACCCTGAAAAGTGAACGTTGGAGGCTCAACATACGGCCGTGGTATAGTTGGTTGTGCTGTGGTGCATACTGGTGCTGCAAAGAACATTGCTGGCGGTGCCTTTGAAGCCGGCGCCTAGGGGCGAACCACAGAAGGCATTCCGGGAGCGTTAGATGGCATTTGAGGGTATCCGCACGGGACGAATAGATTGGGCACATAGACGTTAGTAGCCTCATCTGACCTGGGGATCAACTCAGGGAACCCAGGTATTGCACTCGGCGGTTCCCTACCTTTAGACCAGGCGTCCCACATTTTCAACATGTGGAGACGCAACATCCTATTTTCTTCAGCAACTACTGATTCTGGCTATAGAATCGCCGATGATGGGCTATCCTCAGGATCGATAATTGGTAGATGGCTTTCGGAGGCCATAAGAACCCTGCCTTTGAATCTTGTGAAGGAAGGATGGGAAACCAAATTACCAACAAAACCAATCACCTGAACAGAACCTATCTAATTTGCACACACAACCTTTTTAGTTTTGAGACATTTAACATATATGAATCGCACGTTGGGATGCAATACACCTAAACAGTTAAATGCTTCTATCATGGGTTTGAATGGTTGCGTGTTTCATCCCGGTTTTAACTAATCCTTTTCCACAGTGTATCTCTTTTCTTTTCATTTTTTTTCATATCCTGATTTCTTTTTCTTTCTCTTTTTTATTGTTTTTCGCTCTTTGTTTTTCTCTATTATTTTTGTCACTTTTTTTCAACTCAATTTTCTTTTTTTTTTTTTTTTTTTTTTTTTTGCTCAGTTTATTTATGGCTATGATCGAATCTGATGGGGATTGCCTACGTATTATGACGTCGGATGAATCAGATCATTACGTAGTTCAGGAAGATCGGGATTAGACTCACCCATTTTTCTTTTTCTTCTTTTTATAAAGACTTTTAAATATATATTTTTTTGAGTTTTTTTTCCTTTTTATGGAATTTTTGGAATTTTGTTTTTGAAAGAAGGAAGAAAATATTTGGATTTTAATTTGAATTTCTTTTTCCGAATAAAAGTCTTCGAAAAAGAAGAAAAATATTTTTGGATTTAGTTTTTTTTTTGGATTTTCTAAGGAAAGAATTCTAAAGAGGGAATTAAGGAAAAGCAAAATATTTATGGATTTTTTTCTTTTTGAAAATTGGTGTCGGAACTGATGAGGTTTGCCTACATATCTCACATCCAGTGAGAATCAGACTCGCATAGTTCGGTCAGTTTTGACACAACCGGAAAAATATGCTTTTGAAAATATTGACTCATTTTGAAATGACTCTTTTTTTTTCCAAATATTTTGGCAGAGTTTCAGGACTTTTCCAAATATCGGAATTTTTCAGAACCGGGCAAATTTCTCTCTCCTCCCTCAGTCTTGGTTTTTCTCTCGATTTTCTTTCCCTATCCTATCAAAATGCAAGCCGAAACAAATAAATGCATAAATAGCACGTAGGATGCATCAGGATGGTCTTTTGTTTCAGGTACACCTGTCCTAGACGGACCCAACCCTTGTGTTGAGTCCCTAAAGTCAATTGCACATGATGCAAACAAACGTTCCTACTAGGGATCCGGTATGGAAAGCTATGTTATTCTAGGTTTAAAAACCTTAGGGTATGTTCTAGACATGGCTTACCTAAGAAGATAGCACGAGCCGAGGTGGGGGCAATGTACCAGGAGCACGAAAGTTTGCCCAGCCTAGTTGTTGATCCAGCCTCGTTCTATTTGGTATGACCTTTAACAGAAAAGTGGGCCACACGTACATGTGCACCATAGTTTCAGAAGACTCAAAAGGGAGGCGTAAGAACACAGTTTATACAGTTCAAATAATATCAAAGCGGTAGAAGAGCGACAATTAGCACATCAGACCCACAAATACAGTAGTATCAACAATAAAGAAAGCTAAGTATAGATTACATTACAAGCTCAAATTCTGAACCCTGAACCAGAGATTCTGGGTTCGTTCCCCAGCAGAGTCGCCAGAGCTGTCACACCTCCTTTTTCCCGAGGGATAGGGAGTTTTTTTCAATTTAAGTGACATTATTGAAATGAAATTATTTTATTTTTATTTTTTTAAGAGTCTCCACTCGGAATTATTGAATTACGGTGTTCCGCGTCACCATTTATTTTAAATCCCAAATCAAGAAAATTTGACTCTGAATTATGGTCCACGAACACAGAAGACCGAGTAAGGAATTCTGTTAACCCGAGAAAAGGTGTTAGGCATTCCCGGATTCAGTGGTTCTAGCACAATCGCTTTAATAATTATACCTGGCTTAACTAATTCTGGATATTTTATGTTCTAGGAAAAATTATGCACTTTTGCCTTAAACCGCTTTTAATTGCTTGATTATTCGTAATTATGGAATTATCTTGAAACGAGTTACGCGTACGTGTACTCATTTTGTTTGGCGCATTAAAAATCATATCACGCATGCGTGTACACAATTGATAACACTTTTATTATTATTAAGATTATTCAGTCAACATCGCGCGAATGCGTACCTTGAATTATTTTGGAAATCATAATTGTGTCGCGCGAACGTGTACATAACTACGATGATTTGATTAATTTAGAGCGCACTTGAAATATACTACCGTGTTCATGAATTATTTTTCCTAAACTAATTTAAAAATTATTGTAAAGTCAAGAGTTATGTGAAGTATTTGTGTAGAACTAGAAGTATGGAATTTAATTACTAGAATTATTTACAAAATGAATTACTTTACTAAGTTATAAAAAGTATTTGCAATTATTTATTATGGAAGAAATATGAGCTAGCTTATGAATTTTATTACCATGGGCTATAGTACTTAAACCATCCGATCCAAAAATTCCTAAAGGCCCCATCTTTCTATTTTTAATGTCAGAAAATTTCATGGCTCATTCTTCCTTAACATCAAAATTATTTCATGGCACATCAACGTTAGTATGGCCCAATTTTCTTTATACATTATTGCCCTTTGCACCTTGATTTACTCTAACGTGAATTTTTACTTCTCTAAAATTATATTAAACAAATAATGACAGTGAAGGTTTCATGCCTTACTAATTCATGGAACTAAATATTCTATAAAACTAATCCACCAAAAATAGCTAAAAAATTTAATAAAAACTAACCAAGAACAGAAAAATTATTATTGTTTATGGATTAAAAGGAAACAAACATATTCTTGCTAAAGCTTTAAACCAACAAAAGATGACAAACTAATTTATGCTAACTATGAACAAGAAAAGAAACGTGCTCAAATAATCAGTAAGTATGAACTATAAAATTTTACTCAAATACCCATCATAATAATGAAAATCCAAACTTATATATTAATCAAAGATAAAGTACGAAATGGACCTCGATACAGCTTCTCACGAAATCAAATGAAATGAAGAAAGGAAATCTGACCGGAGTCTGGCTCGCCGAAGACCGCAACGAAGACGGAGAGACAAAGTCGGAACCTTGTTACGTTTATTATGATACTTCAAGGGTGTTTTTAGGCTTGAATTTGTGGCATTTTTGAGTTTTAAACGGGGTGATAAATTGCTGAATTTTTCGAAAGAAAGAGAAAGAAAGAATGACACGAGTAGAAATTCCCTTGGCGTAGAAGAAGAAAAATAATTCTCTCAATTCCCTCCTCTCTTTTTTTATCTCTTCCTTCTCCTCACATTTTCTCTAATATTTATAGAAAAAATTTCGGATATTTTTAAGATTTTGTTTAAATTATTTATTTTTAAAAAAATTCCCACTTCCCATTTTTCTTAAAAAAAAAATAAATTCCCCATTTTGCTTTAGTTTTATTTTTTAATTTCTCACTTATTTTTACTTTTATTATATTTAAATTTCCACTTTTATTACTTTTTTATTTTTTTATTTTTTACTTATTTTACTTTTCTTTTTTAATTTTCACTTTCTTTTACTTTTTTTTTTAAAAAAATTTCACCTACCTTTACTTTTATTTTTTAATTCCAACTTTATTTTACTTTTCATTTTTTAAATTTCCACATTCTTTTACTTTTATATTTTTTAATTTTCCACTTTCTTTTTCTTTTCTTTTTTAAAACAATTTTTACTTACTTTTACTTTTACTTTTTAATTCCATAATTCTACTTTTCCTATTTTTTATTCCCATCCGAAAATTTTAAAAAAAATATTTAATTTTTTTTCGATTTTTTAATTTATTTTATTTTAAAATAAAGATAAAAAAATATTAATAGTAATAATTGACCTTTTAAATTATTTTTAATTTTTACCCTATATATAAAAAAAGTGTAACAAAGTTAAAAAATATATATTAAATTTCTAAAAATATTTACATCGTAGAAAGTGATAAAAATTTAAATATAATAAAAAATGAGGTGCTCATAATAGGTATCAAACATAAACAATTAGTAATTGTTTAAGCATAGTGTAAGAAATATTTACAATTACGGAGTAATTACATGTTAATTCTTTCGAAAGCAACTAGTAACGAATCTGTTAGGGTCACTTGTAATATAAATGTTCAAGCATCTCCCAAAAACAATTATACTACCAACAGATAACATCATAGAGGAGAAATTATAGGCTGACCTAGTCGGGTTTGCATAGAGCAGTGCTGAGAGTTCAATCGAAAATATAGCTCATATTAAAATGGTCTTCTTTTTTTGCCACTGGATATAGTATTCGTATTAGGTACGGATTAATTTGAATTCAGTGTCACATAACACATATTAAAAAAATATTTTTCAAAATAAAAACAGGCACAAGAAAAAAAAGGAGAATTGGTGAAAAATAAAGAAGAAGAAAAGGAGAATAGAATAGATTTGAAACGTCGTCGTGCACCCTGATGCTTCTTCTTTTGTAATCATATAAGTCATAACTCACCAAACTCCGACACATCTTTTACCCCCCACTGTACAGACAACCCCAACACACACAAAAACACAAAACACACACATATTCTCTATCTAAAAGCAACTGATCAATCTGCCATTGCTTACCACACTATGACCAGGTACTTTTCTTAACTACATATTTCTAATTCTTTGGATTTATTTTCCTTTTTTCCCTTTGAATGGTAGTAGCATCTTGACTTTTCACCTACTATTTCCAAATGAGGTTTTCTTTTTCTCAACTGGATTGTACTGTTTTTCTTCTTTTCTTTTCCCGTCTAAGATAAAAATTGGATCTTTGTTGCTTTGTTTTCCCAAGTTTCCCTTTTTTTCCCTTGGTATGTTATCAAAGATCATCACTTAATTGACCTTTGCGATAGGAAATAGTAGGTATCTGGTGGAATAGTATGGTTTCAATCAGTGGCGTAAGCAAAATTTTTACCAAGAGGATTCAAAAATTTATAAAGTAAACACGCTAAAAAGTAAAGGGAATTCAACATCTACTATATAACAACAACAACAATAACAACAAACCCAATGTAATCCACATAGTGGGGTCTAGGGAAGAGCAGTGTGTACGCGATCTTGCGCCCATCTCGTGGAGATAGAGAGTCTGTTTCCAACAGACCCTCGGCTCAGTGAAACATAAGCACAACAATAATGAAAAGAAGATATCAACATCTAATATATCTACATGAAAAAAATTTGACCTTAAATACATAGTGTAATTTTCAGGCAAAGGGGTTTCGGGTACACCCCTTACGCCCACGTAGCTCCGCCCCCGGCTCCGATACCAATCATCATAAAAAAAGAAAGAAAAAGATCATCACTTAATTGATCATGGCTTAGTTGGTTTTTAATAAACTTGATTTTGATGGTTATGATCAACACTGTTACACTGCCTTTTGTTCGTCTGTAGATAATATCAGATACTTTTTTGGTCAAAGAAGAAAGGCTGTGGAGATAATATATTGTACTAGCTCTTGAAAATCAAAAGGTATAATCTTTTTTGCTTTGCACTTTGCTATTTGCTGTTAATTTGGTTATATTGGAACTGTATTCTGCTTGGTAAATAACATATTACTGTGATGATCTCAGAAGAGTGTCACAGCTATTGAGAAAACTGTGCTTATTTTGATCATCAATGGCCGAAATTATTGGCCCTAGACTGTACAGTTGCTGCAATTGTAAGAATGAAGTTGCACTACACGATGACATCATTTCTAAGGCTTTTCAGGTTAGAATTTTGGGATTTTTTCCCTTTGCTTTGAATTATATGAATACAAATATTTTATTAAGCATATGATGATTGTATATTGTTGGCCTGAGATGAATTTAAGTGGAAAAACATATTCAGTGAGTATTCATTTAGCCGACCCCATTTTGTTTGCGATTGAAGCGTAGTTGTTGTTGTTGTTCTGCGATGTTGTGTAGTACTAGTTTTGTAGTTAGCCATTGCCACTAGTGTTTACAGTGTCAAAGATAATAGTATGAAATTGGATAATTGGATTGTCACACTTATTTCTACTCATCTCTAATAGCAAAGCAATGATCTTTCTATGTATACAAACAAGTGGCTCCTCTGCTATTGAATTGAGCATTTATGTGTTTGTAGTTCAGATACATACCTGAAATGCTATGTTGCTCGGACTCTTCAAAAAATGTTGCTGGGTGCGTGTCGGATCCAACACGGGTGCAATAGCATTTTGGAGAGTCTGCACAACATAGCTGAAAAGGAAACAAGTTAGAAAGATGTCGCATCTTGGTCTTTTTTATTTTTATCTATTTCAATATGACCTATAGGTCACGGATTCGAGCAATGGAAGCAGACACTAATGCTTGCATTAGGGTAGACCGACTGTCACACCCCTTGGGGTGCGACCCTTCTCCGGACCCTGCGTGAATGCTGAATGCTTTGTGCACCGGTCTGCCCTTTTTATTTTAGTGCAAAATCTATCCTTTTTGATGTTATCATGAATAAATTGTTGTCTAATTTGACATTAGGGAAGACATGGGCGAGCATTTTTGTTTTCTCATGCAATGAACATAGTCGTGGGGCCAAAAGAGGATAGGCAGCTAATGACGGGCCTCCATACAGTTGCTGATGTCCATTGCTGCGACTGTCGTGAGGTTGTTGGCTGGAAATATGAACGAGCTTATGAAGAGACTCAGAAGTACAAGGAAGGGAAATTTGTACTTGAGAAGTCGAAGATTGTCAAGGATAACTGGTAGTCCACCGTGAAGTCTGTGGATGTTCATACATGTTAATCTTGTTAAGTCAATTCTCAGCAATTCAAAATGTCAATTCATTGTTCATTGCTGTGTAAATTTCTTTTGTTTGTTGTCCGATTGGATTGGATATTGGATATGTTGAACACACTGTGTGAATATTCCATCTCCAAAATCATGAATATGTAAATATTACAAAATTATAATATTTGCTCTACTTGGTTTACTATAGAGTGCCATACTATTCTATATGGTGGTAAAAACATCCAACAAGTTGCCAAAAAAATAAGTGTAAAATAATGGCTTCGCCCGGACTCGAACCGGAGACCTTCAGTGTGTTAGACTGACGTGATAACCAACTACACCACGAAACCACTGTGAAAGTCAATTTGCTCGCAATATTATAAGATCTTGTGCAATCTTACGTTAATAACATTGTGGCCTCGTGTTCTAAAAAATCTAATTGTAGCAGCAAAAATGATGTTTTTGTCATTTGACTAGCATTTCCAATTAACTATTCATGTACCAAGAAACTGAATTCAAAGCCTTGTAACTGAGAGAGAATACAACAATTCATAGCTCAAAAGCAAACACTTTTGCTTATGATAACTCGTTCAAGAGCATGTACGCAAAACCAATTAATTGCATCCTCCTAAGAGCCTAAAAATGCTGCACATTTTACTGGGACTTGAACTTGTCGCACTGATCTTTGTCATTCTTTCAATCAGAGAAGCAAAAGAGAAAGATAACAAAGTGAAAATGATATTTTTCCACATCATTAAAGAGCTCATGTAATAAATTTAGGAGAGACTAGGTCAAGAAGTTACTCCAGAAGTCAACTGGAAGATCCATATTATATTAATAAATAATGGAGCATATTTTCGTGGTGTAGTTGGTTATCACGTCAGTCTAACACACTGAAGGTCTCCGGTTCGAGTCCGGGCGAAGCCACTTTCTTTCTAATTTTTGTGGCAAACTTTGGTTTTTGCACATAACTCATGGTTTGGATTTTTTAGGTGTTTACAATATAATAACTACTCATCCTATTGTCCTTTTTCTATTTTTTTTAAGTGTGTAGGACCTTTGCATATATTATATGACTGATTGTCATTGGTTTATTGCTTGTTTGATTCTATAATGTCTAAACACAAAAGAACTTGTTACTTAGTCTTAGCAACTGCTGGACTAAATAGTTTGAGCAAGAAACTGGAGAACATTTGTGTAAGGACCGATGTTATGAAGGGATAATTGGACGAGATGACTTTATTCCATGTTAATAAAGGCTTGAAGAAATTCACAAGCAGAATATATTGTTCTCTCCCCTTTCTTGCCGCAAAAGTGCTAGGTTGCTTTAATACTGAATGCTAAAACTGGCTTCTTTACAATTTGTATTTGATTTTGCCTAATGAAAGTATCATCCAATTCACTTATTTCCTACTGTTATCAGGGAAAGCAGTAGCATCGTATATAGGCAACAATTGTCAAATGAATGTTTGCTAACTATGGCTGAGTACAAATATTTGAGAAGGAAATTTTCTAGAACAAGACTTCTAATTGAAACCATCAGTCTGCATGCTGTTCTCATGAGCTCAACTCAATAAAAAGGCTGGCCTGAGGATGTAATCCAGCATCTTTAAGGGACAAAGAAAGCTTCTCTGCGCCATACACAGTGCGGGGGAAGTTGGATACAAGGCTGTAATTGTCAACCTCAAGGCATCCCAGAGAATCAACATAGTCATACAACGATTGTATTGTTGTTGCACAATGAAACCGCCTGTCCTTGCGCTCTCCAGTAGGAAACCGTACCAAAACCTGAATGATCCAAGAAAACAAGAATTACGAAACACCAATATCAAAACCTTTCTGGTCACCGAGAATCACATATAAAATTTAAAGCATTAGAGCTTGAGATTCTGCAGTTTTTATATTGCCCTCTGTTTCCCCTAAATCATCTGCATTTAACATGTGCACAACCTTAAAAAACCAGTTAACCAGTACAAGATAATTTTCAGGATTCCATATGCTTTCTGATAAGTCCCTTTACCGGACAGCGTCCATTAGCACTAAATCTTCTCTGTTCAAAATCTTAACGAAATCATTCAAGACTGAACTGAACGAGACTCTACAAACAATGGTTTACCACCATGTATATGTTCTTCGGAGCTAGAACAATCAAATGAATGAAATGAAATTATGGTAAGTCATGAAAGGAGAATTACGAAATAAGACTTGAGCAGTTAAAGTTTCTATCTTACAGGAAAAACCATGCCTGTCAGAAAATTAGTAAAACAGACTTATAATATGAGAATAAAGAGCAAGATGAATACTTGAGTAACATCAGGACCCTTCTCAGGTTCAGTTCCCAATGCCAATAGTTTCTCCTGGCGCATTTTAGCTAATGCAGCTTCTCTTTCAGCAGCTTCACGGGCAGCTCTTTCCTGGGCCTCTTCTTCCTCCTTTCTTTTCCTTTCAGCTTCAGCAGCTTCCCTTTCCAGCCGCTCTTGCTCTTCTTTCCTCTCACGCTCTCTAGCCTAGCAAAGGGCAAACAGTTCAGCTATGCAAAAATAACTTGAAGAGGGGAAAGGCATATGCGCAACCTAAAAGCACTTACCTGATCAGCTTCTAGCGCAGTGCGATAAGCAGCATCTTGCTCCTCCCTCAAACGCATATTGTTTCTTCTTTCTTCTGCCTCAACCCTGGCCGTGACAAGCACAGGGGCACTTTCCTCGATCACTCTTTGCAGTACTGTAAGCAATTCTTCAGGAGATTTTGGCCCTTCCACCTACAGAGCGTTGATCACCAAAATAAGTATACAAGTCATTGGACTAAGAAGAAGATCTATGAAGCAGGTTTATTTTTCTACACAAAAAAGGTCATCGAGACAAGTGTGCTTCCTTCAGAAAATAGTAGTAGCAATTATGGTATGACTGCTCTATGTTGCTCTTCTTTTTTTTTTTTCCCTTTTTTGAGGCACTCTTATGTCGCAAATATAGCATCAATTGGTTTTTAACACTTTGGGCTATAAGCCTAATAATGTTTTCTGCAAAGTTAAGTTTGTTGGTAAAAAAGGCAAAAGCACCAACAGAACGATGGAGGACGATATTGTTTTCCAAGTTGACCATCCCACTTCAAACAATAAGTCCATACTTAACCAGTCTGATAAAATATGTAGCATCAAAAATTAGTTGCATTCTCCTATTATCCCCTAAATGTCATTCCTTTCTGCAGCCATGTGTCTTGTAACGTTACCTTTTGGACCCTTTACATCTACGGCGTATACTCTAGCATTTCAGCTATACTCTTCTATTACTTTGACAGGAGGTTGTTTAGGTTCATACAACTTACTTTGATACAAGCACCAATTAATTTCAAGTCACTACACATTCTTAACCAAAAGAAGAATGTAAGATTGTTCATTCAAAAATGAAGAAAGGCAGTGTTGTGATTAGAGCCCATTTTAGTAAAAAGAAGATAAATTACTCTCTTGATACATACATTCCGCAGAAGTCACACTAACATAGAGACACTCAACTGCTTGGGTAGGGAAAGGGTGAGGAGTACGACAGGGATCAACCATGTTTTCCTCTATTTCATCAAATATTACAATTTCAACAAAAAATGAGGGAAAATGACAATAACCATGTCTTTTTTCCTTATAACCAACAACCATAGGCCTTCGTCATGTTTAAATCACTAAAATAATTCCACTTAAGCATTCAACAATCAGATGTACCCGAAGAACTCCCCAAGGAGTACACATAATTCATAAGTCACTTCTAGATACAATTTTAATGATATGACAAAAGTTCAAAACAATAGCATATAGACTTTGTTGGAATTAGATAAGCAGCTGCACTAATATTCCATAATCCTAATTTAACATCTTGAACCTACCAATAGTTCAAGTACAAAAAGTTCTCTGGTTTTCCTTTTTGTCTGTTTGATTAAAAGTTATTTTTAAAGGAGTGAGAAGACAGATTATATGCCTTGTTTGTGGACAAAATAAAATTATAAGCCAATTATGTTAAGCCACATGTGTCATAGATTGCTATGCTGCTTTAGTTATTAAGAAGACATGTTAGCAAATTAAAATACTAATGGAGAATTCCCCATTTAAGCTGATGGGGGTAAACCATTTGTGCAATGTTGTAATTAGAGCAATCTTTGCCTCAATCAAATTATGTCACAAGAAATAAAGTTCTCAAATCCAATCAAACATGTCAGTCACCGCTACGTCAAATTTTGTCACGCATTACCTCACGCAGCAATAAACATTGGTCATCCATAAAGTCCAAAAACTATGTAAAGGGGCAAACAAGCTAGAGAGAGCTTGTTGAGGCTACAAGCTCTAGTATTTCTTTCTCCACCAAGTTCAGGGAACAAGCTTGTGCTTATTGCTTTTAAGTTAGTGATATATCATCCTAATTCCTATCTTTTCATTCACAAATCATATTTTCCCACTATAGTCAAACTCTTCACCCTTTATTTAATATCGTATTCAGTTCAACCAAATATCTCTAGGACAACAACTGATAATATACAAGCAATTCATGCATCAAATGGTGTGCTTACTGGCCAATGGAGCTGGAACTAGAAGCATGGGAGACAAGGGATCAATTCCTAACAAAGGAAAAAAATTAAGGTGGTTTCTTTCTATTTGTCTTAGCCTTGAGCACATTTACCCATTACCTATACTGATGAAAAGATGCATGTACCAAAGGAATAGTTGAGGTGCTAGTAAGCTGACACGAACAATTATGACCAAAATATACATACACACAAAAACCAATCTAGACATTATCTCCATAAATGAACGTTCAATCCATCGTATACTATACCAGCAATTTGCAGTAAACAAAATAGTAATATAACTGCTGTGTAAATTTCCAAGACTAGATGACTATAAATTGTAATACCTGCTGAAGCAAAGCGATCCTCTGGTTCGTCGCAGCCATTACAACAGCACAAAACGGAAACCTCGAAGCCTTCAAACTATTACTCATCTTAAAACCTTCACTAGCTCTAATACTTCCACCCCAAGCAACAAAATTCTCATTAATAAACGCCACCAAATCCTCATTACAAAGTGTCTTTTCACAAAACACAGGCGTATCCTGATGATCCGGTGAATGCAAATAAACAAACAGTAGCTTGTACTCATTCCTAGACCTTTGCAATGCGTCCATAAAACCCTCAGCTACAAAATTCGGCTTTAAACTACCAAAATCCCTCTCGAAACTAGTAACAAAATCCATAGCCTCTGATACTGCTGCAGATACGGACACTAAACGGGCCGACGACTCACCATTTCGGCCCGAGTTCAGCCCGATCATGCTTAATCCATACGAAAGAACTCCACTAGCCGCCCACACACCAAATCCAACAGCTCCTGAAATTAACCCTAGACTACCGGAAATAATTGAAAACGGCAGAGTAATAATCTTCCAAGCGAGTCCTGGCGGCGGTCCATGGGGCCCACCGACAACAAGTCCGGTTTCCACTTCTTCGGGAATCGTGCTAGTAGTAGCTTCAGAAGCAGAACGGTAATTTTCGGTGGAACTGGAGGTGAAATTTGAGATCGCTAGTTCGAGATCCCAATTATGTGCGGAGAGAATTTCAGTGCATAAATCGGAGTCTTCGAGTCCAGTTGTTGCCTGAAATTTAGCTATTTTATCAGCTACATCATCCATTACTGATTTCTCCTTTCAAATTCTCACTATATTTGTATAATTGTCAGAAGAAGTTTACGTAGGGGTTTTGACTACTACCTGTTCGATGAAATGACAAATGAGAGTATAAGATAGTGAGAAAGATGGATATGTGATTGATTCTATTTTACTATGAATTATGGCCAAAATTGCCTCTGGCTGTCTTGGGAATAACAAATCTGCCATTCCCATGTTTTTCAGACGGAGCAGGGATATCAATTTACAACTACCAAAAATAATGTGATGTCATTTGCGCACTCCGACGACGACTAGAGGGCCCCGGTAACAATACGGTGTCGTTGTATTTTTGAGCAATTAGCTATTATGGCAAAGGTAACAAATGCGCTATTGAAACGGGGGACACTAACCTTTAGTGGCGATCAAAGGAGTCAACACAAAAGGTCGTCACTGATAATCTAATTTCTAGTAGTGTGAAATGAGATATTAATTTTTTCTCTATATACTTTATTATTCTACTTTTTTCCTCTTTAATTTCGAGCATTATTGTCTTGAAATTTTTGTGTTGGTCATATAAGAAAGAAGGACCTGGTAAAAAGATATAAGTGGTAGACATGGATGTTATGAGATTGTTTACTCGAAAAATCGGATATAATTAGATTTATAAGTAATTTTAAGGATATATGATATAACTTGACACAAATCGCACATAGAAATGAAAATGTGCAGATTATTGACTATAGAAGCTGAAGATAAATTATTAAACAAGAAGAAAGAGTGTGCTCAAGTAAATAAGATCAAGAGATTCCCGTTTCAATGGGAGAAGTAATCTTTGTTACAATGTGTGAATCTGCCATGTGCTTACAATAATCCCCCTCTTTATAATAGAGGGGTCCTATTTTGTATATAATAATAAAAAATATATAGTGGAGAGCCCATGATGAATTATTTTTTTCCTAATCCCTGTCAAGATTTTCTCCCTTAGTGCGGTTACAACGGCCTTTGTCTGTGAGCTCGATACTGACTCAAACTCGATATTGGATCGGGCCATCGGCCTCGACTCGAGCTCGATCCTGACTCGGAGTCTTGACATTCGGGGTGGGTGTCGGTCAGTCTGTGCGTCTCCGGTAACCTTCGCATTGCCTCGTGGTTTGTTTTGGTTATGTGCCCTATAATGACACCGAGCCGGTCCTTGATCAGTCTTGGAGCTCGAATTATGACGCCCTCACTTTGGACCTCGACCTAAGCTTACGCAGATACCTTTCGATCGAAGTATTATTATCTCGACCAGTCCATACGACTGACTAATAGGTTTTGACCTTATACAGAGATGATGGAATATTTTTAGGATGTGGGTTTGTTTATTGGAGGAAAAAGAACTTTGCTAATATTTAGAGCAGTGATTTTAGTTTCTAGTGAATAAATTACGATGAGGAGAAGTGAGAGGAATGAAAACAATGAAAAAGGAAACTGGAAGGAAGAGAAAAATTGGAAAAAAATGAAGAACCAAAAGTAATACTATTAGAACAAGGATCAAGAACTATTTGAAATTAACATACGATCGATAATATCAGAAATTAGTTATTCACAGCCTATATTTTGATTTTTTAACCGACTGAATATTAGAAAAAGATTATTCTAAAAATATAATGAGATTTTTTTAGGCATAATATATAAACTCGCCCTAAAACTTAGCCTTAGCTGGCAAGTATACCCTCCAACTTTGGGTGCGCACAAGTAGTTAGACACCTAAACTTATATAAAATTGAACACGTAAACACAAATGCTGTTATGGTACTAACGTAACACATAAATTTTGTAAGTGTCTAGATGATTATTTCGTAAGTTTGAGCGTTCAACTTATAAAGTGAAGACAAGTTGAGGTGCATACTTGTGCACACCCAAAATTAGAGGACGTACTTGCCAGCTGAGGCCAAGTTTGAGGGCTTGTTTATGTATTATACCAATTTTTTGTAATCGCGCTAAGGGCTGCAAGTTCGCTAGCACTTGATATAAATGTAATTCACTCTTTAGCAAACTGACATAAGTAACGTACGCTGAATGATCTTACTTCAGATACATTTAACTGATCAATTGCATTTATGTACTTGTCCATTAACTATTTCAAGAGACAAAAAACTTACTGAAGAAAACTCTTACCCCAATATTTTAATAAGCTTTTCCTCTCGAAGTTTTACCAAAGAACAAGATAAAATTGAACTTAAAAACAAGATCAACAAATGGATAACAGGGGACTCTTGTTCTATATTTGCCTTGTTATTTCCTCTTCACAACTTATACCTTATGTACAGGGCGATTTCCTCTGGGCGCAAGACGTAGACGTAATACTGAAAAACGAATTGCACGTACCAGCAACCGTCCGTTGCAAATCGAGCGACGACGATTTAGGAGAACATCAGGTTTCGCCTAGTAACACGTACAAGTTTTCCTTCAGAACAAATTTTTGGGGTACAACTTTATTTTGGTGCAAAGTTTGGTACAAGACAAGTCCTGATTCCAATTCTTATACTGAAGCTAGCTTTGAGGTTTATAATGCTGAAAAGCATCCAGAGCATTGTGATCGTATTTGTACGTGGGAACTGCTAGATAGCGGCATATATTCATATGATCCTTACAACAATAGATCGATTAAAGAATATGAGTGGAATAATTAATGAAAGTATAGATGCAGCCTATTCAATATATAGTCTCTCTTTTCAATTAAGATCTCTTATATTCAAGCCTCGGGAACGGAGGTGTATCTAGAATTTTGGGAGAATAGGTGCACCATTACAAAAAGATAGATCCAAAATATAAATTTTATAGGTTCAATCTTATTGCACCCATTACACTTTTGGAATTATAAGATCAAATATTTTTAATAATAATTTTCTTACATATATATATCATAATCTATTTTGAAAATATAGGGCCCAGTTTAACCCTTTGACTATATATTATACATCATCCACTGCACTAGTTTTAATATATACATTTGGTTTAATTATATAAAATTTATGATGACAAGAAGAGAATAGAAATTTCAATGTGTTAGGCCCAAAAATTTCAAAAGAATAAACCAAATAAAAAAAAAGAAAAATAAAAAGTACTTAATTAATACGGAAGAAGTGATATCAGATATGCCCATCTTTCATGGATGCGCTCAATTCTAGAAATTGAAAGAAAAAATAACAAGAAAGACGTAAAATTTGAACTCCCAACCTCAGAGAGGTGCACCTAATAACCATCGGATCATGTGTCACTTTGAGCTTGGAGGTACACGTGTGCACATACACATATACAATATATATATATATATATATATATATATAAAAGTTTTGAAAAACATAACATTACATAATCTAGGGAGTGGACCATGGGTTCACGTGACGCTAAGAATCCCCTAGATACGCTCCTGCATTAGTCATGGTGAGTATCGCTCACAAGGCCGTATCCGATGGTTCCATCAATTTTTAGGGAATCAGAAGTTGTCAGCCAAATTCATGAAATTCATCATGTATATAAACACTCGAAAAATGGACATAATCATTAATTCTCGTTCCATGACCCCGAAACGCCAGAAAATGATGTTAGTCATGGCGAGAATTTCCCACAAGGTCATTTTTTATGGACCCACTAAATTTTAAGTCAATCGAAGTCTGTTAATTATTTAAATATACTAGTAGGATCCAAGTGGCCATGCATAAAATATGTAGCCTCTATGTGGCCTACATAATATTCTTATGACCCTGAAATGTCAAAAAATAACGTTAGTCATATTGCTTGCAAGGCCACATTCAATGGTTTTACCAATTTTTAGGCGAATCAACGGCTGTCAACCAAATTCAGAAAAATCATCATATATACAAATACACGAAAAATGGACATAACCATTAACTCCTATTTCATGATCCCGAAATACCAAAAAATAACATTAGTCATGGCGAGTATTGCTCACAAGGGCATTTTTTATGGACCAACTAAATTTCAAGTCAACCGGAGTCCGTCAGCACCCGTAGGATCCAAGTGACCGTTCATAACACAGGTAGATTCCACATAGTATTCTTATGATCCCGAAACACCAAAAAATAATGTTAGTCATGGTGAGTATTGCTCACAAGATTGTATTTGATGGATCCACTCATTTTTAGGCTAATCAGAGTCCGTCAACTAAACTCAAGAAAATTATTGTGTATATAAACACATAAAAAAGACATAATCATGAATTTCAATTTCATCACCCCAAAATATCAAAAAGTGAATATAATCAAAAATTCGTATTGCATGACCATAAAATATCATAAAATGAACCCCAAAGTTATGGCGAAACAATGAGTATTGGTCACTAGACAGTTTCCTATGGGCCTACAAATATTTAGGCCAATTGGAGTCCTTAAAAATAATTCTACAAAATCATAATATACTATTACACACAAAAAAAGTGATATCATCATAAATTCATATTGCATGACCATGTGATGCCATAAAAAGAACCTGAAAGTCATGGCGAAGCTATGAGAACTGGTCACTAAGTTATTTTCTACGGACCTATGAAATTTGAGGCCAGCCGGAGTCTATAAAAAATATTCTACAAAATCAACATGTACTAATACATACGAAAAAGTGAATATCATCACAAATTCATGTTGCATGACCACGAAATACCATAAAATAAATCCAAAACACCAAAAAGCAACAATAGTCATGTAGAAACAATGACTTATGGTCACTAAACCGTTTTGTATGGACCTATAAAATTTAATACACAAGAAAAATGGATATAATCACAAATTCATATTGCGTGACCATAAAACGTCATAAAATGAACTCGAAAGTCATGACGAAACTATGAGTATTGGTTACTAGGCCATTTCCTATGGACCTATAAAAATTGAGGCCAATCGGAGTTCGTCAAAAAAATTCTACAAAATTGACATGCACTAATACACACGAAAAAGTGGATATTATCACAAATTCGTGTTGTATGACCAAACAATACCTAGCACACAAAAATTTGAGAATCGTCCTAAATTCTTGTTTTGAAGCCCTAAAATTTTAAAAAATGAGAAACGATCATGGTGAAACAATTACTATTATTCATTAGGTCGTTGTTGATGGTCTCGTAAAATTTTAGAAGATTCAGGACTGGTTGCCCAAATTCATGCATATGGCGTGGACTATAGCAATAAAAATCTGGGAATCGTCCTAAATTCCTATTTTATGATCCTAAAATACCAAAAAAATAAAAAAACGGTCATGGAGAAGCGATAACTATTGTTCATTAGGTTATTTTTGATGGGCCTGCAAAATTTTAGAAGATTCGGAGTCGGTAGCCCGAATCCATGTATATGGCGTGGACTATAGCACATGAAAAATAAGGGAATCGTCCTAAATTTCTATTTTATGGCCATAAAATGCCAAAAAACGAGGAACGTTCATGAAGAAGAGATGACTTTCATTAGGTCGTTTTAATGGGTTCGTAAAATTTTAGGAGATTCAGAACCGGTCACCCGAATTCATGCACATGGCGTGTATTATAGCATACGAAAATCTAGCAATCATCTATTTTATGGCCCTAAGACGCCAAAAATGAGAAACGGTCATGGCGAAGTGATAACTATTGTACATTAGGTCATTTTTTATGGGCCCTCAAAACTTTTGGAGATTCGGAGCGGTCGCCCGAATTCATGCAGATGGCGTGGACTATAGCACACAGGGAATCATCCTGAATTCCTATTTTATGATCCTAAAATACCAAAAAATGAGGGATAATCATGGATAAGCGATGACTATTGTTCATTAGGTCATTTTTTATGGGTCTGCAAAATTTTAGGAGATTCGGAGCTGGTCGCCCGAATTCATGCAGATGGCATGGACTATAGCACGCGAAAATCTGGGAATCGTCCTGAATTCCTATTTATGGCCCTAAAACGCAAAACAAAATTAGGAACATTCATGTAGAAATGATGAATATTATTCATTAGATCATTTTTTATGGGCCAGAAAAATTATGGGAGATTCGAGGCCGCCCGCCCAAATTCATACAGGCGTGGACTATAGCACACGAAAATCAGGGAATCATCCTGAATTAATATTTTATGGCCCTAAAATGCCAAAATACGAGGAATGACCATTGCAAAGTGATGACTATTGTTCATTAGGTCATGGGCTCGAAAATATATAGGAGATTCAAGGTCGCCTGAATTCATGCAGATGGCGTAGACTACAACACACAAAAATCTGAGAATCGTCCTTAATTCTTGTTTTATGGCCCTAAAACGCAAAATTGAGGAACGACCATGGCAAAATGATGACTATTATTCATTAGGTCATTTTAGATGGAAATCATGACTAAGCTATGAGTAATGGTTACTAGGTCATTTCCTATTGACCTATAAAGTTTGAGGCCAATCGGAGTCCGTAAAAAAAACTACAAAATTGAACACACAAAAAAGTGGATATTATCACAAATTCGTATTGTATGACCAAAAAATACCCAACACACAAAAATCTGGGAATCTTCCTGAATTCCTATTTTAAAGCCCTAAAACGCCAACAATTGAGGAACAATCATGGTGAAGTGATGACTATTATTTATTAGGTCGTTTATTATGGTCCTATAAAATTTTAGGAGATTCAGGACCAGTCATCTGAATTCATGCATATGGCGTGGACTATAGCACAAAAAAATCACAGAATCATCCTAAATTCCTAATTTATGCCCAAAAATCGCCAAAAAATGAGAAACGGTCATGACGAATATATGAATATTTTTTATTAGGTCATTTTTATGGGTCCGCAAAATTTTAGGAGATTCAGGGTCGTTCGCCGAAATTCATGCAGATGGCATGAATAACACATGAAAATCTGGGAATCGTCCTGAATTCCTATTTTATGGATCTAAAATGCTAAAACATGAGGACCGGATATGGCGAAACAATGACTACTGTTTATTAGGTCATTTTCGATGAGCCCGCAAAATTTTAGGAGATTTGAGGTCGATCTCCCGAATTCATGTAGATGGCGTGGACTATAACACACGAAAATTTGAGAATAAGTAGGATTTCCAGTTTTTTGACCTTAAAACGCCAAGAAACGAGGTGGTCATGGAAAGACGATGACTAATATTCCTTAGGTCGTCTTTGATCGGCCGACAACATTTAGGTGATCCGGGTTCGGGCACCCGGGCTAATGCAGATGGCGAGTGCAATAGCAGACAAAAATCTCGGGATCGAGCGGGATTCCAATTTTATGGTCCTAAAATGCCAAAATATAAAGAAAGGTCATGGCGAGGTGATGAGTAATGTTCCTTAGGTTATTTTTTATGTGCCGGCAAAATTTTAGGTGATCAGGGTCTGAGTGCCCGGGCCCATGCAGATGGCGTGGGCTGTAGCACATGAAAATATGGAAATCGGGCGAAATTCCAAATTTATGGCCATAAAACGTTAAAAAATGATGAACGGTCAGGGGAGGCGATGACTAATATTCCTTAAATTATTTTTGATAGGCTAACAAAATTTTAAACGATCCGGGTCCGACCGCCTGGACCCATGCAGATGGCGTGGGCTAGTGCACAAGAAAATCTGAGAATCAGACGAAATTCCAGTTTTATGGCCAGAAAATGCTAAAAATGAAGAACGGATATGGCAAGGCAATGACTAATGTATCTTAGGTT